TTACCGCTTATAGCCCGATTGTCCACATGTACTTTTGCGCACAAATAAAAATTTTACAGACGGAGTTACATTTGCCTACATGAGTTACATCTGCCTATATATATTATTGTCTGTAAGTATTATTATTGCCTACAGCTCGATTACCTATATGTATTTTTGCATACAAATAAAAATTTCAGAAACGAAATCACATTTGCCTACATGTATTTGCTTACACGTTGTTGCCCAGCTCGATCATCTCTATTATGGTCCACATATATATTATTTTCTGTTTTAAAAACAAATTCTTTGTTTTAAATCAAATACTCTACTTTAAAAATGCAATCATTTTCTTACTTAACTTAATCTTTATATACAAAAGTGTTCATAAGTAATCAAAAATAATAAAAGCTGTACGCAATAATACTTGTAGATAATAATATATGTAGGCAAATGTAATTTCGTTTCTGAAATTTGTATTCGTGTGCAAAAATTGTAGGCAATCAAGCTCTAGACAATCATTTTTGTGTTCAAAAGAACTATCGGTAAAAGTGATTATAGGCAAACGATATCCTAGACAATTAATTTGTAGGCAAAAAGACCCATCACATTTTTAAGTGCTGTATTAATGCATTTTATATAATTTAAATAATTAAAGTTCTATAAATAAAAAATAATCATATACATATTTATATCAAATTTATTATATATGATAATATAAATAACAAAAACATATTATCAATTATAATTAATGAAAGGAATAATATATTAAATTATATTATATATTAAATTATTTATTTAACATCAATTACTATTCAAAAATTAAATACTTAATTCTATTAAACAGAATTGAGTGAATAGAATTAATCCATTCATTTGTTTAGATAATTTCTCAGGGTCGCGATTTATCGATACCACGTTTAACTTTTATTATTACGATATTTGTCAATGCATTCGGACACACATGTGTCTATTGCGCCGTAGGAGAAATTTTGGTTGCACAAGTATGTTTTCTTGATTAACTTATTATGAACAGAATATAAATTACAATATACTAATTACAATATACTAAAATATTTGTCCAATTTAATACATGATATATAACATATAACAATATATAAATTTATTGCGTATTATTGTTATGTATGTCAAGTGCGAAGGAATTTATCAAGCTGCATACAAATACAAGTGGTATAACTTGGAGCCAAAGAAAGCAAAGAACTTAATGATGATAATGATTCGAGCCAACAAATCATTGTATCTTACCGCAGGAAAACTGTTCCCTATGACGATGTCAACTTTTTGTAACGTAAGCCAGCTAATAGAAATTGTTTATATAACCTTTACTCTTGCCTTTATCAATTCTTAATATAGATCACATAAAAATAAAATAAAAACAACTTTTGTGTATATGATTTTTTTTTATTTTATTTGTTATGTGATTTATACATACATGTACAATGTGATATCTGTATAAGTTTATTCTTATCATCTCGTCATTAATTAAATTATTTTTATACGTCAACATACATTTTTTATATATATTATATTTTTAGTTGTTAAAAACATCGGGCGGTTATATATCAGTTTTGTTGGCACATCGAGAATAAAAAACTAGAAAGTCGAATAAAAATCTGATTTTATAAAATTTATAACGGGAAGTAACAATTAATATGTTTATGTAATTACATATAATTTGAATTTAAATATAATAAAGTTTACTTCGTTTACAAGAATGCATGCTTATTTACATACTTGTGAAATACATTATGTATTACAATAACAATATTGCATTATCTTGATTTAAACATGCATTTCTCTTGGAAGTATCTCCTTTTCTTTATAGGACATCTCTTGGAAAAAATTGTATTTTGTGTAGATAATTTCGAAAATTTTAATACATTTTTGCATCAACATTTTGAAAAATGTTCTTTGAAATTTATTGAACAAGGATATTTCAAAATTGTTAATATTTTGATAAAAGACAAACTATTTTATATAAATTGTACTAAAATAATAAAAAAGTTTGCAAATTATTTCAGTTTAATTAAATTTATTTAAGTACAAATAATGAAAAATTAAGAAAATGACACGTTATTGTATTCCAACTTTGCGTTTTTTCGTCACAATTATCCCGGTTGACCCCATAAAATTAACAAAAATTCTTTCTTGCATAATTAATATGTCATAAAAACGTATAAATAATTCATATTAATAGTGATGTAATAACGTTTTAATAAGTCACATACAGTTTTCGTAATTCTATATTGAATTAATCAGCATTATCTAGAGATGGAAAATAAATAACGCTGTTATTTTTGTCGTTATCTTTTATAACGATTTGATAATAACGTTGCAATTTTTTAATGATGGTAACAATAACTAACTGAAAACAAAAGTTGAGAAAAAAATCATTTTTCCAAAGTATCGTGCCACGATTATACATTGTTTATTACACAAAAATAACTCATTACTTGTAACAATTTAAAATAACAAGTAAAAATAATAAATCGACATATTGTAAATGAATTATTTTTTTTAAGAAATTATGTGTAATAGTGATTAGTTACTTTTTAAAAGTTACTTCTCCAATTTTACTTAGTTTTTAGATATAAAGTTGTCGTTACCATCATAAAAAAACTGCAACTTGCCAAATCATAATTATAAAAACAAATAATTCTTATGTCCTGATTGTATCATTATCCCTCATTGTATCATTATCATTCACTCAATTATATTAGAACACATTATTAACATTATTGAAATATATTTGAAAAAATTGCAGTATGGTGTGCTATATAATATGTATATATATAATATAATATGTACATTTTATGTAACAATACGATCATTCCCAATAAATATGAACTGACATTCTGTCAGTTTGACATGTAACACATGGCTACAGTACTGTAAAACCGTTTGGTATTTCAAATTTTATTTTTAAAATTGACTGACTTTAATAAAACAAAAGGAAACAAAGACTGTTTTTTAGCTAAAGTTTAGAAATTTCAAACTTTAGCTTTAAAAAACTTTCAAGTTTCTTATATGGATAATGATAGTTTCAATGAAGTGATCAATAAATAATTGCAGCACAACAGGATCGATTATAAAAATTGCCAACACATAATAAATGAATAAAAAACTCATATTCTCTTATTTCTGTATAAAGAACAACAAATTTTAAGAAAATAATTGAACGTATATGAAAATATATGTTCTTTAAACTTATTTTCTTTTTGTAACTGAATTTCCATAATTTAATTATATATAATTTAATTATATATTTTTTTATAAATACATTGTTTCATTCCTTACTACAAAAATGTGCATATAAATGTATTAATTACATTGAACATATGTGTAAATTTTTCAATCCGTTCAGAGCACGTATTATGGAATTATTTGGAATAGGAATAAATTCCGATCGAAATTGTCAATTACATATATAATATTCCTTAGATTTCTATTGTATTTTCTGGGGAAAAAATGGAATAATTCTGATCGGAATTTATTTCCATAATACATGCCCAATTATATGATACTGAAACATTTTTAAAAACGTGCGACCCTGCATCAATATCACTTTTTTATTCGCTACCAAGTCACTAAATAATTTTTTCATCTGTAGAGTGAATCAAACGGTTATAAACATCACCCACCATAATATTCTCGTTACAAATGTTGCATTATTAATACGTAGTGTATACACTAGCTATAGGATGGCATTAAACTTAGGAAGTCTCGTCGTACATAACGATCTACCACTCCAACCAATAATGAAACGAGAAGAAGAGAAGCTTCGTTTCTTTGCAGACACCAGGATGGATATTTCAAAGTATTCAGCGTACATAGGTGTGCATTTTCTTTGATTTAGATAGATACGTTAAACAGAAAAATTGTTCATCAAATGCATAATACTCACGAATGAATGTTTCGAATTATTTTTTACAAAACAGTACTGTTAGAAAAATATTAGCTAAAATATGGGATAATTATATTTAAAAAGAAACCTATGTGTGTGTGTGTGTATGTGTGTGTGTGTGTGTGTGTGTATGTGTGTGTGTGTGTGTGTGTGTGTGTGTGTGTGTGTGTGTGTGTGTGTGTGTATTTAAAATTAGTGATGCAGATAAAAATTGTAAACATTAGAAAAATTTGTATCACTCAATTATTTTCTTACTTTTACGTTCTTCTTACACATTTATTTAAACATACATACATATACAATACATACGCATACAATATATAATACAATCACTTTTTTATATGTAATTTGACATTTTATTAATTTAATTAACCAAGTAATAAATTTAATCGAAGGTTATTAAATTTAATAACTTACAATTAAATATGTGCCACAAAAATGAATAAATATTGTTTGTAAACAAAAATTTTTTAAGTATCTTTTAAATAAAAGGAAAGTGATGTATATTAAAAAAAAGAGAAAAGGAGAAAATATACTCGAAAAAAGGAAAAGAAAATACAGAAAATACAACAATTATATAATGTTCACGGTTAGTAAAGAAATTTAATTTTATTAAAATTTTTACTCATATTTATCTCTCTATAAAATAGATTATGAATGGGCTATTGGATTAAATCGAATTAATTTGGCACTGTTGGGCGTTTGGCCAAAAAACATTGAAACTAAACGGAAAAAATTAATATCAAACATTCATACAATTCTTATGTTAAACACTGTAATCTGTGGCTGCTACATTCCGAGTATACATTCTTTGTTCAAAGTTTGGGGTGATATAATGTCTATGATTGATAATCTACAATATACTTTACCGATGTCGGTATCAATAATAAAATTATTCATTATGTGGTTGAGAAAGGAAGGTAATACATAGATGAGACAAAAGCTAGTTGTTACAATTAGTCTTTTTAGCCAAAGAAGACAATATACATTTTCATAAATAATATAATACTTATGACATTTTACTAACAATTAGTGGCAGCCATAATTGAATTGTAAAAGATGTTATATATGTTTATGTGATTATATTATGTGGAGGTAAATATTTCATTGTGTGAATTGTTTGTTTATTGGATACGTAAGAGGTATGTTAGCATTCTTTTATATTTATTTTATTATTTTATATACATTTATTTAGTTATAATAATACATTTTATTTCACTTGAAATGTATATACATGTATTGGTTTTTATCTGTATTTTCTCGAATAAAAAATGGCGAATTAGGGCTAGTTATTACACTTTAATCGACGCAGGTAACGTTGTAATATTGTAGCATTGTAATAACATTAATAACTTACCTTGTACATAGAATTGATAAACTAATAATTTAAGTTCTTTCTTTCTTATAGTTTGCTATATATTTAATAATTAATTCAAAAAAATCTGAATTAACATATTTCTTTACATATAATTTTGTATCCTAAAATAAACATTTAGTATAAAATATTTTGTGTTTGATTTTTTATTATAATTTGGAATTTGTTCTTTACAATTTACCTGCTGACAAAAAATTTTAATTTTCAGCATTTAAATACATTGATATTCAGAAAAAATTTGATTTTTATTAATTATCTACTTAACCTGATTAACTCCAATTAAATATATATTTAATTAAATATATATTTCAATGTATAAGTATTCATTAATTTAAAATTTATATGTTTGCATGAGTTAAAAAGTTCTAGTAAAAGATTGTAACAACTAGCTCCGTTCTCCTTTATACATACTTATACATATATTTCTGTAAATTATACATTAGTAAAAAAAAACAGTTTTTTTTCAATCATATCTTAATTCAGAAAATTAATATCTTATTCTAAGCTTATTTATAACATATGTAATTGTTATCTTTGTTGATTACAGACATTCTACCCCTTTTAAGCATGATTAAAGATGATTGGTTAAAACCAAAAATGATAAAAGAAAGAGATATTATGATAAAACGAGCGCGAATAGCACGTATATTTACGATGTTTGGATATTTCATGATGTTGGTATCTTTTAATTTGTGTGTAATTTTTCCTGTCTTCGGTATTTCAATGAGATATTTAACAAATAAAACGGATCCAGGCAAATTAGTGCCACTACAAACATATTATATATACGATCGAGATAAAAGCCCATTTTACGAAATAACTTATGTCATGCAGAGTCTCGGCTTATCGGCGGCAGCTATTATGTATACTGGTGTAGATAGTTTTTTAAGTTTATTAGTTTTTCACGTATGTGGTCAGTTGGAAAATCTCAAAATACGTATCATCCACCTAGATAAGTTCCAAAATTTCGAAAATGCTTTATCACATAGCATACAGGATCATATACGTCTCATTAGGTTACGCATATTATTGATTTTTAATAATTTTTTAGGAGATATAAAAAATAAAGCACATTTTCCACTAATATATTTACTTAAATTATTCTAAAGGATAATATAAAATGAAAAGATTTTTTGAATATTACATTGAGAAAAATAGTCTGGTTGGATTAAGTAATAATTTTGATAGAAAATGAACGAATCAGAATTTTCTAAATTCTTAAATATGCTAGAATTCCAGTTGAGATAGCTAAAATTTTGAATGATATAATTATTCTGGTAAAAATGAGAATTTCTTATAAATTTTATCAGAAATATTTTATGAATCAGAATTCTGGTTATCTTAACTTTTAATAAATTTAACCAGAAAATTCTTATTTTCAATTAAATAAAATTTTTTTCAGTGTATGATATAAATAAATACTAAAAAATTAATTTATAAATATGACTTTTTTAATAACTTTCTTTTTTTAATAACTCTCAGATTTATTACCATTATTGACGAAATATTTACATTAATGCTACTTGGTACGCTGTTTTACTTTGGCATATTATTTGCATTTTATGGTTTTTTATTGGGTACTGTAAGTAACCTTCCTTAATTACTTTTGTAATAATGTGATGTTTTATAAATGTTATCTTTATTAAAATATTTTCTAAAAATTTAATAAGTTAAACACATAGATACGTACAATATCTGTTATATAATAATGTAATATAAATAATAAAAATATATTATAAATTATGATTAATATAATGTATACTTTATAACATTTCAATTTATTTATTTAAACTAATTATTATTCTCAAACATTCAAAAATTAAATACTTAATTTTATTGAATAAAATTAAATAGAATCCATTCCTTTTGTTTAGATGATAACTCAAGGTCGCGATCTGTCGCTACCACGTTTAACTTTCATTATAACAGTATTTGTCAATACATTCGGACACACATGTCTCTATTGTGCAGTAGGAGAAATTTTGGTTGCACAAGTATGTTATTTTTTTGATTAACTTATTACGAACAAAATATAAATTATACAATATACTAATTAAAATACTTGCCCGATTTTACACACAATCTATATAACAATATATAAATTTATTGCATATGGCTATGTATGTCAAGTGCGAAGGAATTTATGAAGCTGCATGCAAGTACAAGTGGTATAACTTGGAATCAAAGAAAGCAAAGAGCTTAATGATGATAATGATTCGAGCCAACAAATCGATGTACCTTACTGCAGGAAAGCTGTTCCCTATGACGATGTCTACATTTTGTAACGTAAGCTGGCTAATAGAAATTGTTTGTCATTTTTATTCTTATCTTTACCGATTCTTAATATAAAAAATAAAATAAAAACAACTTTTTTGTGTATATAACATTTTTTTTACTTTATTTATTATATATTTTATACATATATGTACAAAATGTAAAATATCTGTAAAATTTTATTCTTATCATCTCGTCATTAATTAAGTTATTTTTACACATCAATATGCATTTTTTATAAATATTATATTTTTAGTTGTTAAAGACCTCGGGCGGTTATATATCGGTTTTGCTGGCACATCAAGAATAAAAATAAAAATCTGCGAAAGTCGGATAAAAATCTGATTTTATAAAATTTATAATGGGAAGTAACAATCAAATGGGTTTATGTCACAATTTAAATATAATAAAATTTACTCCGTTTAATAAAAATGCTTATTTACATACTTGTCAAATACATTATATATTACAATATTATTGCATTATCTTGATTTAAACATGCATCTCTCTTGGAAACATCTCCTTTAGCGGTTCTTTATAGGACATCTTTTGTAGAGAATTTTAGTTTGATAATTCCGAAAATTTTAATATATTTTTGCATCAACATTTTGAAAAAAACATTCTTTAAAATTTATTGAACATTTATTTATTGAATAAAAATATTTCAAAATTTAATATTTTTATCAAAATACGAATTATTTTATACAAATTGTTGTATAATATTGTTGTACACATAAGTCTTTCATATGTAAATTATATATTTAAAGTTAAATTATTCGTATTCTAATATAATAAAATCTCGTCAAAATACTCTCAACCTATTATCATTTTCAAAATGTTATTATTAGATTTATAACTCAGATTATTTTTATAAAAATATATAACATTTTATTGATTTAATATTACAAATTTTGTTCACATTACACTATTGCTCATGAATTAAATTAAGTAAACATTATCTAAATATCACTCTTAATTTGACGACAAATAATTTGCGTGATAATCTTGTTAGAATAAAAATGGAATTATTATTAATGTTATTCACAATTAGCTGGATATTTCAATGTGGCTGTGGTCAAAGTCTCGCTACAAATGCTTTGAAGTGTTTGATTACCAATTAGAAGAAAGAATTTTACAAACTGACTAATTAAAAAATGGATATTTCAATGTGGCTGTGGTCAAAGTCTCGCTACAAATGCTTTGAAGTGTTTGATTACCAATTAGAAGAAAGAATTTTACAAACTGACTAATTAAAAAATGTTTCAAAGCGTTTATAACACGCGTTGACTCTCAATATACCAAATCAAATATGAGCCATATTAAGTGCGCAAATTTCAAACGCATTCTAATTCAATTGCTTACAATGAACAAACCATTTGCCGTACGGATTTTTATAATATGGCTTAAGTGTGATTGGCTGTCAGCTCTCCACTACTTTTAGGCTACTATGCATCCACGGGAATAATTTATCTTACGTCTTTCTATCATAGCCATTATACTGTACTTTTCGAAGTACAGTGTACTTTTGCCATGTATAAAAACAGATCTATGCAATAAAGCTGTATCCTGATCATTGGCGGTCGTATAAGGTAAGTTAAATATCAGATAATATTTTTTCTTTTAACAATTTTACAAGTTTTATATAATTAAAACGTTTTCTATTAATTTGTTTACTTTATAATAGCGTTATATTTTATTTTTTATATTGCATATATAAAAATAATGCATATAAATTACTTAATTGTGTATAAAGTGTTTAATCTCGTCAATTATTACGAGTATTCCTATTATATTTATTTGTTCTATTATTTTGATTATGTAATTTTATTATTCTTATTAAATTTATTGGTTTATTGTATATAAAAGTTTTATCTCGTCAATTTTATAAACTTTGTATAAAATTAAAAAAAAATTCTATTATGTCTTTCCTTATGTCACAAAAAATATAAGATGGAATAAACTTTAAAACAGGGTCAACCAGACAAATGCGAGAATGGAGTAATTGCGACGACTCTGCATTAAAATTTAAAACTTTATATTTTATATTATTTCATGGTCAATGATGATTTGACTTCAAATTGACACAAGTTCTCCTAAGTACAAAAATTTTATATTATAATAATTATCAAATCCGTAAAGCGTTGTAAAAAAGTTACGTTATCAAAATATGCATATATCTATTCAAAATCAATTCTTTTCCAGATAAAGCCATTTTAAATACGATTATACAAGATATTCATTATTTTAAGATTACTATGACTCTAAATTAACGTTTTGTAAAG